TCCAGCGATCCTTCCTCCTCAGTCTTCCGAGTAGCCAGAATTACAGGCATGCGCTACCATGCCCGACTGATTTTTTTTTATTTATTTATTGTGGAGATGAGGTCTCGCCGCCCAGGTGGGTCTCGAACCCTTGGGCTCAGGCAATCCACTCACCTCAGCCTCCCAAAGGTGTGGGATTACAGGCTGAGCCACCAAGCCCGGCTCTGGAGATGATTTTTAGATGATGTTTTCATGGCTATCCCATTTGGGAGAACTCAACATAATATAATTTTCTCCTTGACATTCACAGTGACATTAGCATATTTTAAAAGACTTAGAGATGTCCCATGGTAGAGAAATTTGTTTTCATTGTTTAACCCAGATTTCCCCAAACTTATTTTAACCCATAGTACTTTTTTTTCTATAGCAAGAATTCTTGGAATATCCTTTGGGAAATTAGTGGAATTACTAATTTCCTGGCCTTCAAGTTTACTTGCTTGGACTTGCCGGCTTCACCACTAGGGGGAAGCATTGTTTTACACAGGGTGAACAAACTTTCAATTCCAAACCAGCATTGGTGAGAAATTTGCTGAAAACAAGTGTGTTCATTTTCTGTCTGTTTTAAAGAAGTCACTTCACACCTTTGTACTGGAGTTGAACTGGCTAACCCTTAAAACTACCAACTGCAATCTCCTATGGAAGAACTCCAATATGACTAGTATGAACAAGATGGTTATTTCTGTTACTAAACAGAGTTTTGTTTATTTTTTAGTAATATTTAGGAGTACATGGTAAGGTGAGGGTGAGCTGTAATCTCCCACCTAGGGATTCTGGTTACTCAGAGCCAGTGTACCCCCTCCTGAGTGTGAATGATTTTCTATCTCTGGAAGTTTGGTTATGAGGTAGTAGGAAAGTAGGTATATGTTTTCTGTAATGAAATAATCTCTTTTGGGAATCAGTTGTTATGAGAAAAAGTTTCTCATCTTGTTGGTGCTTGAATAATTAGGGAAGAGTCTTGATTTTAGAATTGAGGCCCCTGTTGAGTTTTTAATATGAGGGCTTTCCTTCTGCTACAGTGATTAACGTATTAAGGGGGAGCAAAGCTCAGATCTGTCAGCTTTTTTTTTTTTTGGTTTATAAAAAGTCCCACTGGTTTGGTAAGGGGTGGGATTAGAACTGTGAGATAATATGTTCTTGAATGCTTAATGATTCCCAGAGTAGACCTATCATGCTGATCTTTTTTGTCCAGACTAAATTCTTTTCCTACATACTATGTCAAATTTCTTCCTTTTCTGTCCACATTCTATTAATTTCATTTCTCTTTGATTTTAGGACTCACGTTATACTCAGTATTGCTTTTATTTTCAAATGGGCCTGGATAAAAGTACTGCTGAAATGTTCTGCTAAAATATGCTGGGACTTGGAAGAGGTATTGGGGTCGCCAATTCACCTTTAGTTCCCTGAAACATGGTCCCGTCCCTCTGGCATTCTGAGAGCTGCTGCCTTCTTGGTGGGAGCATTGGTAGTGAACCTGAGGGCACCTTTCTTTCATAGCCAGTTTTGAAAAAAGCGTTGTGGGTCTAAGTGTTTGTGTGACTCCCTAAGGAAAAAGAGGGGAAAATTCTTTGAGAAAAAACATCATCCAAATATGAATTGTTACACATATTCTGAAAAATTATATCTATTTTTAAATTTAATAATATCAAGTTAACTAATGGAATCATTAATTATTGTGGGCCCTGCCCCCTTTGCTGGCACTTGAGGGGAAGCAAAGAGGGAAGGAGACTGAGGATAACTCTGTGGCTAAGGTAGGCACTCACTCAGGCTCGGTGGTTCTGACCACAGCATAAGATGCGTCCATCACTTGATTCAGCAGTCCCAGCTTTCGTCTTTGGTTTTGAGCTCCTTGGTCTACGCCCTTGGTCTCATTCCTTTGATCTCGATATGAACAAACAGCCCTCAGCAAGAATAATCACAGCTGTTCTAGTAGTAATCTCCGTGTTTGAATAACATTGTGTATGCAGTTTGCCTGCAATTTCTCTTTATCACACATTTTTGAACTAATATTTTATTACTAACAATTTTGAGTTGGGAGTGTTCATGCTAATATTTGGTTTGACTCCTACCAAAGTGTGTTGTGTGTTTGGAGTCTTTGTGTGTACATCTGTGTGTTCCTTTTCACCAGGAAGTTTTCCTCATTGACCAGATTCGTGGAACAACGTTAATGGAATTAAACTTGAGTGGTTCAAAAGAATGGACCTAATTACAGTAAATTTCACTTGCAATTTCTAACTGATTGATGTCTACCATTAGGACACATGGCAGCACCACATTCACAAGAGGGGTAGAAGACGGGAAAGTTAAGGTATAGTTTGTACTATGCCTAACTAGGTAAAACATTTTTTCCTGTACATCTCAAGGGGGACACACATACCTAAGTCACATGTGAGTTGAGGGCCACTTAATAAGGACCTGTGTTCCTTGAAAGTCAATGTGACTGAGCACAATGTCTCTCTATGTAGCACAATGCCTCTTTAAACCTCACCTTGGTGAGATATAAACATAACATGGTTTCTTTTCCCCTCAATTAACCAACTTGGCTAAACAGTATCTCAGTCTGATCCCGTAATTTCCAAGCACTTTGGTTTTAAAAGTTTTGTTGCTGGTATATAGTCATTTAATCACAGTTAGGTATTATTACTTATGGTTTATGTCCTGTTTAAAGTCTCCCTTCCCCAACCAGTGGAGTTTCTGTTCTCCATAGCTACCTCTGGCAGAAGAGAGGGGCCTGGCTGCCCACTCTCTTTCCTGTCCTGAGTGCCCAAATGCCTACCCCAGTGGGTGTGGGTGGAGGTGAGGGAAGCAGTTGGTTCCTGCAGCAGTACACGTACCCTGTATTCCCTTTCTCAGCAGTGGTTTCTTCCTACTCTGGCTGTCACTGGTGATGTTGGGATGCTGACTTCTGTTTGGACTGATTGGTTCAAGCTTTTGTCTTCAAACTGTGGTGTAATGGAGGAGTGTGACCAAGAAAGTTGAGTAAACTGGGGATCAAATTCTGCTCTGTCATTTATTAGCAAGTAGCCACTCCTCTACCCTCAATTTTGTTACCAGTAAACTGGGTATAAAAACTATTTTGCGGAGTTGTTGTGAGCATTAACTGGGATGTTGCATGGAGAGCATCAGGACGGCACTGAGAATTGGGAGCGATCATGAGGTATTATTTTCAAACACATGGAATCTTAAGTGTGAATTAAGTGTTATTAAATTAATTCATTTTAATTAACTATAAATTAAATGTGAATTAATCTTCATTTCAGAACATTTGTAATATTAGTAGGTTAGGGTCCCTTATAATTTCTGATCTAAATAATCTTCTTTCTTCCAAATTTTCCAGGCTGGGTTGATGCCTGCCTGATATTAAAGAGGCCCAGAAGTTTACTCTTCTGGAATTCCACTTTGCTACAGGATTGCAGGTTTGAATGTACTCACCAGTAGATGCCTGGTTTCTCTAAGATCTTGGATGGACAGGAGCAAGCTGGTTTCCCTTATGGAGTCAGTATAAATAATAATCAAATGATAAAAAGCATGATGATTTTATTCTCCACTTCATTAAGTGGACAACAGGTTTAAAATGCATGAAGAGTGAGCTATTGTCTTCTGATGGCTTGTAATACTGCTTGTTTTTAGTGTGATGTTTGGAACAGTGCGACAGAAAGCAATCCTCCTAGATTGATTCACTTACAGAGCAGCCCAAGCCACAGAGGCCTACCCGAAACAATAACTTTTTAAAGATGTTACAGCTCTCATTTCACAGTGGGGTAGTTCTCGATAGAGTCTGATGTGAATTTGATGGAATATTGGGAGATGATTAAAAGTTTCTGAAATCCTTTGATTCTAGAATACATGAAAAGAAAGCAATGGTTCCTTATTCTTTTATTAGGATTCTTCAAGTTTGATGTGAGGAGGTTGAAAGTGTGAATGAGAAAACTAAAATGGGAATGAAGAAAGGCAGGAAAGGGCTTCAAAACAGAGTGTGCCACTGTGGCAAAAGAGCGGGTTTTCTTTACAGACCATGTTACAGCACATATTTACAGCTCAATTCCTATACCTCCCACCACCTTGAATCAAACTAAAAGAGAACCGCCATGCCATTTTGCCAGCAGGTGGCGTCACGAGAATCTCCTATGAGAAACAGGGAAGCAAATGAAAGCAGAACTCTTGCTACTTTCCCACCAAGAAAAGTCCATTGTGGCTTTGATTTGTATTTCTCTGATTAGTGACGTTGAGCATTTTTGCATATGTTTGTTGGACGCTTATATGTCTTCCTTTGAGAAGTGTCTGTTCATGTCCTTTACCCACTTTTTAATGGGATTATTTTTTCCTGTGATTCGTTTAAGTTCCTTATAGATACATAGCTTGCAAATATTTTCTTCCATTCTGTGGGTTGTCTCTTTACTTTCTCGATTTTTTTTTTCTGTGTGGCAGCTTTTTAGCTTGATACGGTCTCACTTGTCAATTTTAGTGTTTGCTGCATTTGCTTTTGAGGATTTGGCCATGAATTCATTGCCCACACTGATGTCCAGAGGGGTGTTTCCTAGGTTTTCCTCTAAGGTTTTTTTTATAGTTTTAGGCCTTCATGCAATATAACTGTGTAACAAATCCTTACATGTATGCTGTATTTCTAAGATTAAAATGGAAACTAAAAAAGTCCAATCATCAATGTATATTCATAGTTTTGCTATAAGCAAATGTGCATCACATAAAATATTTTCAGAAGATTCAGTTGTCCCCTTATTTTTCATATATTAGCATTGTTCAGAGAAATATTATATTCTGTAAAAGGAAAAAAAACCCCAGGAAGTTTAAAATAAAATTATCATATAATTCTATTTTTTCCCCTTTATTGCTAAAGTTATTTGCAGAGCACATTTCCTTGACAATAATAGTATTTGTTATTGTCAGGCAATGTTAAAAGGTTAGAGAGGAAAGAACTTAGAAGCTACCCTGTTTTCACATTCCCTTCATGCCCTGGGTGAGGAGGGTTCCCCATGCCCAAATATCTCCCTAATGCTGAGCAACCTCTCAGACTCTGGGGGGACCCTATGTCGCAGATAATGGGCATTTTTAGCCTTTGCAAATAACTCTAAGAAGGTTGGCTGTGTGAACTCACCTTTGAAGCTTTCTGTACCTTCCACGAGATTTGGAGGAATTTGTTTCCCAGCATTCCAATCTGGCTTTAGAGTGGCACCTTTTGATCTGGTCTCATCGGCATATACCATTCTGCTATCACCAGATGGGCTGTAACTAGGGCCTTGTTCTGTGTTATTGGCGGAAACTTCTTGATCTTGATGTAAAACAGAGATGCCCTTGTTGAAGCTCATGCCTTTTGGTGAATTCGTAGAATCTTTCTCTTGGGCTTGTGGTTTCTCTTCCATGACACAGGCAGTTCTGTGATTTTGTGATAGCAGCTGCTTTTTGCTTTTCGTGGGGTCTTTGGGAGCAATGTGATGTAAAGGAGGAACCTTGGACTTGGTTTTGTATATTTTTTCGGCCATATTGGTTGCCAATGCTCTGGAAAAGGAGGTTTTAAAAAAAAGAGCTCTGAAAACCAATGAAGAGGCTCATATTTAGATCTTTCAACATGTTAGACCCCAGCCCCCTTCAGTGAGATATCAGTTGAGGTAATAAAGTAAAATCAACTGGGTGGAAATGGGTTGGAGGGTGAGAATGGGTGGCAACAATGTGGGGGAAGTATCTGTGCTTAAGAAGGGAAAGGCAACATTTTCTCAGAAAGAGAAAGTTTTAACAGTTTTAACAAGAGGTCATTTGGGAAGAGGTTTCTAATGTCATGCCCTTGAGTTTGGTAAGCATTTTCTTACCTAATATTATTAGCCCATGGTTCTCTGTTCTTCTGTCTTCTCTGTGGTGAGAACATGAAAATATCGTCTGGTCTCTTCTGAATTCCACTCCCAAAATAAGAGGAGGACTTTTTCTTCATGATATCTGCTTTGAGTTAATTCATAAGTGTTATGGGTTGAATTGTGTCCTTCCCGAATTTCATAAGTTGAAGTCCTAATCCCGAGTACCTCAGAGTGTGACCTTATTTAGAGACAGGTCTTTACAGAGATAACTGAGTGAAAATGACATGATTAGGGAGGGTCCTAATCCAATATGACTGGTGCCTTTGTAAGAAAAGGAAATTTGAACATAGGCGCGCGCACGCTTGTGCACGCACACACACACAAACACACACACACACACACACAGAGTGCACCATGTGAAGAGAGGCAGGGAGAGAACAGCCATCTATAAGCCAAAGAAAGGCCTGCAGCAGATCCTTTCCTCACAGTACTCAGAAGGAGCCTGCCAACACTTTAATTTTGGACTTCTAGACTCCAGAATTGTGAGATAACATATTTCTTTTGTTTAGGCTGAGCCCAGGGGCTCATGCCTATAATCCCACCAGTTTGGGAGGCTGAGGCAAAAGGATTGCTTGAGTCTAGGAGGTCTAGAACAGCCTGGGCAACATAGTGAGACCTCATCCCAACAAAAAGTAAAAATAAAATTAGTGGGGTATGGTGGTGTGCATCTGTAGCCCCAGGAACTTGGGAAACTGAGGTTGAAGGATCACCTGAGCCTAGGAGGTCAAGGTTGTGGTGAGCTGTGCTCATGCCATTGCACTCTAGCCTGGGTCACAGAGTGAGACCCTGTCTCAAAAAAAATTTTTTTTCTATGGTTTAGGCCACCTAATTTGTAGTACTTTGTGATGGCTGCTCCGGAAAACCAATACAATAAGAGAAGAAGAAAAAGAATGCTGGAAAGCAAACTTTCAGGGAATCACTGTGGGAATATCCTTGGTTCATATTACACATAAGGTTGATCTAGTGTGACACATGGAAACAGAAAAATTTAAAGCAGTTTCCCAATGCTTACCTAGATTATGTTCAAAGAGGATTTAGAAACACCACAATCAGAGGTTTAAACGGGTTAGGCCCACAGAGGTTTTGTTTGAATGTTTTACTTGGCAAGCACAGTGCTTTCAAAAACAAAATCCCTGGGTGTGAATGTGTTGTTTCATTCACACCAATTATGTGACTTCCTACCCACCTGTGGCATAAGTGCAACTGCCAGCCTTGGTTAAGTGGGCTTTTCACTCATGGAGTTGATGTTTTAGCATCTTGTAGTCATAGCTGCTAGAGATGACCCAATTAGTTTTCAAGACATCTCACGAGCTGATCATTTAGGGTTAAAAGTTTTAGACTAGTTTGCACTTATGGCAGTGAGTTCCTTAAATCCACACCTTGGTTAGTAGACCCAGGCGGAGGGAATATGACCTGATAAAGAGCCTAGAATTTACATTAGACTCCTAATACTCTTGGATCTAGTCACTTATCTGTGAAGTAGTCAGGACAGGAGATAATCCTTTGTGAGCCTTACTTCCTTTGTTGTCTCCTTGGGGAGGTGTGCAGGTCTTTTCCATGTAAGAACTTCACCTATTTCCTAAAAACTAAGGGATTTTGAGCTACTTCTCCCAGTGAGGCCAGTTTTCTGCAGTAGGGCCAACAGGTTAAGAAGTGAACATATCTTTTCTTGGAAACTTGATCTTTCTCTAGGGTTTTCTCTGTGGAGGCAGGGTACTGTCTCCACCTATTTATCCAACTTAACAAGTGTGTTTGAGAGCCTACTTTGTGGTTTTCTTTAACCTTGCACATATAATTAGTCATAAAGCTCTGACAATTCTTTCTAAATATCTTGAGATGCTGGTCTTATTTTCTTCACCTGACCAATGCCCTGGTCTAGGCCTTGAAACCGTGGCCTGACCCTAATAATTTTGTCATGTCTCCTTTGACTATAGCTCTATTTAAACATGGCCACCAGAGTGATTTTTTTGACACTTGAATGTGTTTTCTCCCCACTCCCAGACCCTCCAGGGTGAACTCTAAACTCTCCTGTGAGAGCCGTGAGGTTATTCATGATTGGAGACTTTGCCTACCCTGTTTTTTCTCTGAAAACTGCATAAACACCTCCTCTGTCACATGTCACCTTCCCGCAGTACTGGGCTATCTGAGGCAAGCCATGTTCTTTATGTACCTTTATATATACGGTTCCTTCTGTCAGGAGTAGCCCCATTCCACATATCCCCCTGACAAACCCTCATCCCTACCCCCGCCCCCCTCTTCTCTGAGATTCTGCTTGATCACTGCCCCTTTGGGGAGATCTTAGTTAAAGCCCACTGATAGACATAGGAACCTTTTCATGCTCCTGCTCTACCTTGTAAAGAACCCGATTAGCAGTTTTGATCATAATTTTTTGTAAGCACAGCTACCATCCAATTTAAATACAAGCATCTTAAGGGCAGAGTCTGTGGTTTTTCATATTTGCACTCCAGCCTCTACCTGAGTGTATGTAATAACATTTTGCAAAGTCTGGTCTGCAAAACATCTGTTCCAGAATAATCTGCCTTAGTATCATCTCAGTTAAAAATGTGGATTTTTAAGCCTAATTTCTAGCCTACTAATCCATATCTCGAAGACTAGGGACTGGCATATAACTGAATCTTGATGAAATTTCTTTAAATGAATCATGGGAAAATATTGCTGAGCACAGTGCCTAATGAATACTGAGACAATACATATTGTTCTCTTATTTTGTCCCTAATTTTACTGTTAAGAAGTCTGAGACTTAGAGAAGATAGGACTTTCCAAAGCACATGGGAACAGAGGCCCCTGAATCACTTTTCTGTCTCCTGGTTCCGACTCTCTCTAAACCAACTCTACACTCAGTGAGGACAGCCATTTGTTGCAGTTGGAGAAATTGAAAGCAGAGCTCAGTTACTAGTGCAAACTTATCTTTGGAACCCAAAGCTGGAGGCTAGAAATAATTTCCAGGCTAGGGGTTTGGTTGTTACACTTGGCTTTTGTGTCCTTATTTCAGCTGTGTAGACCTAAAAGATGTTACATTCAGTCACGGCACCTGGCTCACCTCTTGAACATGCTCCATTATTTTCAGAACTCCTGAGTTCTGGCACCTGCCATCAGTAAGAAGAGCTATTTCTTTTCTCCGCTGAATTTTGAAGTAATAATAAAGCCAGTTATTTTAATGATGGACCAAGGAGAGAATGATTTTCTACAAACTGTACAACTGCAGCAAGCTTCAACAAAACAGTAGGAGAGTTTCAGTTCTGTAACAATGTTTAATTAATTGATGCGTGAACACTTGTATAGTACTTTGTGTTTCAGTACCATTCGAAGTTCTCAGTGAATCCTCAAATAACTTCACAAGGTAGGTAACATCATTTTTATTTTTCATTTGAGGGAACTGAGATAGCAATTCCAGGGAAATTTTTTCTATTTTATTATTTTGAGTCAGGGTCTCACTCTGTCACCCAGGCTGGGGGGCGATGGCAGCATCACAGCTCACCACAGCCTCAACCTCCTGAGCTCAGGCGATCCTTCCACCTCAGCCTCCCAAGTAGCTGGGACTATGGGTACACATCACCATGCCTGGCTAATTGTTTTCGTTTTCTTTTTTGTAGAGATGAGGTCTCACTATGTGGTCTTGAGCTCCTGGGCTCAAGCGATTGTCCTGGCTGGGCCTCCCAAAGTGCTAGAATTACAGGCATGAGGCATCACACCCAGCTTCTTCTTTTAAAACTTTCTTTCCATAAAATGGCCTAGGAAAGTGGCTGGCACATTAGCAGCTACTCCATAAATTGTTGTTAGTTCCCCAAAAGGAAGATCAGACATAAAAAAAGAGGTGAAACCAAATCAGCCCAGATTTAGTGAAAGAAATGCAGAATGAAAAATAAAATAAGAAAGTGGAAAACTAAGAGTGTAAGCCAGAAAGAACTGGTTTGAAAGATGGCAGTGTCTGGGAGCCTGAGAAGTGTTAGCTCGAGATGCCTTGTGAGTGAACTGCTCCGAGAAGCTGTGGAATTGAGGAGGGAGGGACAAGGAGAGTGGCACAGTCTAAACCCCAGGTTAAGATCTGAAGTGCTTGCCCTCTTGGTGTGCAGGGTTCTGCCAGGGCCCCGCCTGAGTGAGGGGCTGCCCTGCTTTGCCATGGAGCACACTGTTCCCAGTCCAGGAAGACTTACCTTGCTGTAATCGTTGCAGTTCACTCTGGAGTTGCTTCTGCTCCCAGGTCAGTAGCTTCATTTGGTAGAGGCAGATATCCTCTAGTTTCTGCAATCTTTGGCCCAGTCTGGCTTCAGTCTGCTTGGCATTCTTCCTCTCCAAGTCAAAGTGCTTATGCAGTGGTCCCCTGACCATGTGCCTCTCCATCCTCTTCATGGTCTAGAGAAAATAAAACAAGATTTTCCCAGGCACCACAACTAACCTGACAATGCAAGGCCGAGATGCTGACCCTCGGCTTTTAGTCAGAGATAGATGTTTGAAACCGGTGCATTTCTGAAATCACAGCTGCTGGGTCAAATAAAATCACACTATTGGAAAATTTTGCCCTATTATAAAACAAGTTTCCAGAGTGACATACAAGACTTGAGGGTAGTCATTCCTCTGAGCCTCGGCTTCCCTGCTAATAAAATCGTACAGGCAATAGGCTCCCGGTGCAGTCCCCAGGTTGCTGTAAAGATCAAGTGAGAAGTGTGTGGACAACTCTTTGGGGGGAGAAAAGCACCTTACATTTCTAAAATGTTATTCACTCAATAAAAAGGTTTCTTTTACTATTTTTATAGGCTCCCAGAAAGCCTTCTCAGAGGTCTGGAGAGGATGTGGAGACTTGAGGCCCAGACATTCTTGGGCCCCCTCAGTTCATTAATTCACATATGCGTGGGTTCATTCAGCCTGTAATTCTATGATGTGACAGATGCTAGGCTAAATGCTATGGGGAGGGGTCAATAAGACACAGTTCCTGTTATCAAGAGATTTTCTAACAAAGTGGGAAGAATGGGGCATACTGATTACAAAATAGAACAGTATCCAGGAGGAATGGTCTGGGCATCACTGGGGAGGCCACTTAGATTGAGCAGAAGCTCCTCTTTCCGCCCTCACCCATTTCCAACTTTAGATTCTCTTCACTCTTCTCATGCCCTGATGTCTAAGCCTACAGCAATTTCTTTCTCCTCCAACTAGCAGTCATATGTAGGGACACATCTTTTTCTCCTTCAAGTTCTTCACAACACTTATCTGAGAGCTAAGCATAATATGTGCTCAGGACATAAATAGACTGTTCTCAACAAAACTTTGGTGGTAATAATACAGGAGAAAGCTTAGTATTAAAAAGGAAGATAAGTTCAGGACACAGGAAACAAATACATCTTAAGGCGGTTTGATTTAGAGTCTAAAGCGTAGATTAAACTTTTGTTAAAGAATGGGGTGCATAGAGCTTACCTACAAATCCAGGACTCTCACCAGGAGACTGTGGCTTGTTTCTTTTGCTATGTCACGCAGAGTCTGGATTAATGTGCCTGTTTTTCTTCAGTAAACATAGGAGTCTTGTATTGGAGAGGATGGAGGGAGGGAGAAGGCTGGAGAGGGCTGTGGGGGAGAATGTTGAATACACTTGGAAGCTCTCCTCCTCCCTCCCCACCTCCCCAAGTCGGGAATACTAGCTCCTCAGGCCATGGGCACCAAGCCATGCGGGAGAAGCCAAAGCTCTTAATAACTATGTGAGTGAAGGAAGCCTGCCAACTGCTAGCCTGTTCTTAGAGAGGCCCTCAGTGCCCTTCTGGCTGTGTCCATGGAAGCTAGGAATGAAAGCAAGGTGTGTCTTCCTGTGTTCTCAATCTCTTGCTCTCGCTTCCTTTCCTCCTTTTCCTCCTCTTTGGCCATCCATCTCTTTCCTGAACCCCATTCCTGTTTCTTGAAAACTAACTGAGGGCTCCAAAGAAAGCACTCTCTTTTTTTCTGTCATGATTGTTCACATTTGGTCAGGAGCATTGTTAATTTGTTTATTTTGCATGAGTGCACACCATACAGACTTTCCCCAGGCTTCTCCATGTTCAGTGCGCTTCAGTGCTTATCAAGATTTTCAAAGTGGTAAATACAGCACTAGGTAAAGTAAAATGTAAACCAAGTTTGGTGCTCATATTTCGAACTGTTGCTGTAGAAGGTCAAGTTGAACAAGAGAGACTTGTACGGTTGCCTTGGGACTCCACTTGACGATAAGAGGCGTTAAGACACCGCAGTCTAAAAGGAGTTGCCAAACTGGGCCTGATAATTCCCTCCCTGAATTTACCAAGAGGCAGCTAAACAGGCTCTATTACCCCCAATCATCATCCAGCAAACATTCCATTATAAGGAGATTACTGAGAAGAGGGAGAGTGAGAGACATTTTTTCTCTCAGTGGGAGGTAATTTCTTTCCCACCTTTTCTCATGAGGTAATTACCTCACCTCCAGAATGTAAATGAATGAAGCCAGGTTTCCAGAAAATCACTGTGCTATGCAAGAAAAAGAATGGGGTTCGACACAACAAGGTTCTACACAACCAGAAACTGGGTCCACACACCCTCTCCCTTAGCTCAAGACTGGTTGAACTGCAGAATCACAGAACAGCCTCTATGCCATCTCTTTGTTGCCGTGAGTGCTCATGGTAGTGAGGAATTTTTGAAGAAATTTGGGCTCCTGGATGTCTAGAACTGAAGAGGAGAGGCTTGCAGAAGTAACGCATGGCTGAAGGGTAAGAAAGAGGCTTAGTGTGGTGTAACTAGGAAACAACTGGTGGCTGAACCCATCCTAGAGGACTTGACTTCGTGTGGAGTATAGGGATTATATGAGGGATCAGGAATTATGGCATGGCTTGTCTTGGAAGGTTATGCTTCACCAGAGAGAAAACGGCACCACTGCAGGACCAGAGGAAGGCAAAGGCAGAAGGATTAGAGTGAGTGTGAGCTTCCTCATAAACACCACACATCTTTTTTTTAAAAAAAATTACTTTAAAGATAGGTACAATTCAGGGTTAAGATACAAATGTTCATTATGCAGGTACTCTTGTTACTGAGGTGTGCCCACCTCCCCTGGCAGAATTCCACTACTACTAATCCTGCCCACCCCCCAGCAATGTCCCACTACTGCCAATCCTTTTCTTATAGTATTACAATAATTGTTCAAGGTCTGCTTATGAGTGAGAACATGTGGTACTCAGTTCTTTGTTTCGATGACAGATCTCTCAGTATTATAGACTCTAAGTCCATCCAAGTTGCTGTGAAGTTCATGATTTTGTCCTTCTTTATGGCTGCATACTATTCCATTGTGTATATGTACCACATTTTAAAAATCCAGTTCTCTTTCGATGGGCAGCACAGTTGGCTCCATGTTTTTGCTATTGTGAACAATGCTGCACTGAACATGCAAGTGCAAGTATCTTTTTCACAGACTGATTTGAGTTTCTCTGGGTATATTCCCAGTAGGGGGATTGCAGTGTTGTATGGAAGGTTGATTTTTAGACCTTTTGGGAATCACCAAACTGTTTTCCATAGAGGTTGTACTAGTTTACATTCCCACACATCTTAAAACAAAAAGCATCCTTGCACACACAGAACAAGAATAGACAGGGGAATACCAGCAATACCTCAGCATCACAAATGTAGAAGTTATATAAGAAGAGCTCTTCTCCCTTATTTACCTTCTCATCTACAACTTCAAAGTGGTTAGTTAGTATTGAATAGACAAGGGAGAAGAGGAATACAAAAAATATGCTCCTTGTTTCACTCCAAGGAGTGGAGAAAGAAGAGTAATAGAGAAAATGATCCTCCTTGCCCCTCTTCAAACTGCCTAGAGTTCAGTGAAGAAGGATTCAAATTGTGTATGAAATTGGAACTTCAAAGTATACTGGACTTCTTTTTGTAGCGAAAGTGGCCAGAAATGTACAGAAACTGCCCAGGATATCACTAAGGGCCAAGAATGAAAAATCAACAAAAAAAGCTACTGGACATATAAAACGGTCATTCCCAGATTATGTCCAATCTACCACCACTGGGGGAAAAGTAAGTTTTAACCATTCAATAAAGTGGTTATGAGTAAAGTGGAATTTACAGGATATATTTTATTTATGACCATTCAGGGTTTTTTAAAAAAATAATTCTGTTTTATATGGAGGTGGCATCTTTTGTAGTCAAAACACACCTGAGGTCAAATAATTATTCTGCCATTTAATAGGATGTGTGATTTTAGTCATCAATCCTGTCTTATTTCCTGTTCTCCTCATTTGTAAAATAAATTAATAGTGTCTTTATCATAGGACTTCTCATAGAATTGAATAAAAGAATGAATGTAAAGTGTTTGGTGCATAGTAGACATCCAATAAAAGTTAGTTCCTGATTTTCAGCAAAGATGGAGTAGCAGGGCCTATATTTCTTTTGCTGCATGAACCAATTTGAAAAGTAGAAAAAAATTATAAAATTTGATAGAAAAGACACCGGGCAGATAGGATGGTGATTCCCTAAGAGAGTGGAAACAAACCAGGAAATCTTCATCATTACCACAGTTTATTGCCTGTAAAGAATTTTCAGGCCATAGAACAAGAGGTGGACAACCAGGTAGGTGTTTCCTGAGTTGAGGAAACAAAGCTGTAAGCTCAGAAAGGCCAAGGCAACCAACATTAGCAGGGCAGAGTAACAGATCTCAGAAGCTATAAGAATTCCAAGCAAAAAAAGAAAAACTGAAAAAAAATGTTTAAGTGAAACTACTCCATGGTATATAAAATCAAATTACTTTAAAAGTAATAAAGGGGTCATCTTAAAAATGACAAGTGGGGGAAAAAGACATTACATACAGAGTAAGACAGATAAGAATTAGAGCATACGTTCTGTCAAAAACTATTATATCTGATGGAAATACATATCTGCATAATGAAATGAAAAGCACAAGAAATAGTGACTACATGGACAAGTATAAAATCTGTTTCTCTCATTATATAAGTCATTTAAAAATGTGATTAACTATTCAAAGAAAAAGAATGTAGTATGAGATTTATAGCACATGTAGAAGTAGAATGCATGGGAATAATAGCAAAAAATTCAAGTGCGAATAAATATATACTGTTAAAAGATTCTTATATTTGCAGCAGTATAATGTCACTGGAAGGTAGATTGTAACAGTTAAAGCTGTATACTCTAAACTCTAAAGCAAACACTAAAATGACAAAGAATTATAACTAAAAAGGCGACAAGAGAAAGAAAATAAAATCATAGAAAATACTCAATCTAAAGTAAAGCAGAAAAAGAGGAAAGAGGGAAAAGAAGTCTAGTTAAGCAGATTCGGTTTAAGATTTTAAATCAAACAATATCAAGACCACAACAAATGTAATACTCCATTAAACAGA